TCTGAAATCCATATCATATCAAAATCCCAGTGATTTATTGAAGCCTAAACAGTATGTTAAGTGTCACGATCGTGCATCAAATTCAGAACACGTGATATTAAACATAAATTGATATTTCGGGGAATACCCTTTCTGATAGCCTCCCACGCAAATGGTATGCGTAGGAGCAACCATTTTATATTAGACACTGAATTCAATAGTCCGTTAAAAGCACCACAGTTTTGTCTTAAAAGACAAAGAAATGAATTTAAAAGAGAAAAAGATCGCGAAATACGAAAAACGCAAACAAAATATACATTTAACTGCATCAACTAATATCATTTCCTCGAGCTTCTACATACCGTATGTACATTGTAGTACATTGTAAGAAAATTGCAAATAACTGATTGTTTAAAAGTTATTTTTCAACTGATTTTAATTCCTTCAGTTTTTTAGTAATTGGTAGAGCGATCCATTTTTGTTTGGGAATTTGTTTTTAATCATGYTCCTTTTCCAGCCTCAGATCACGTACTTTGACCACCTTTCCGGAATTTTCTCGCACTGCATTTTGCTGATTGTCGGTTGACTGCATAAAATAAACTGAARAAAATTCTATTTTTATACAATTCTATTTTTATCCAAGTTATCAGCAATATCAGAACCGAGTTGCTTTGCAAGACTAGTTACGCGGCGGCGTGAAGCAAAACAATTTGTTTCTACCAATCCAAAAGAACAAAAACGGCAAAACTCCAATMAGCAATGACAACTTTAGGTAAAAATGATTTTACAAGAAAGAATAAAGTAACGTCTATATATATACATATATCATGTAATTTTGATTTGACATCTGTTTTCACATCATTCACTTTTCCACTTGACGGAAGCTACTGACGTCACACTAACTGGGTCCGTGGTTTTCAGAGCAAACTGACCAAGGCAAGAAACGCCGCACGTTCGAAATAATCATCTAATTACATGATCAATTACTGTAGAACTGTAGATATTTCAGTTATGAGCTGACATTTGGATTACTTTGTAAAGTTTTACGCGTCAGCTAGGTTTGATTCTAGAGCTGTTCGCACGAAAATCACGTGACTGCTTGTCACGCGTCAAAGAATGCAAGAATTTGACTAGAAACATCCGACAGATATCGATAATAAGGAAAGTATTACTTAACAATGGAATAAGCCCAACTGTACGGAGTAAAAAAAAATCACTATGAAATTCCAAGCCTTCAAGCACAAATACGTGCAAAACTGGACCTTAGAAGCTCACTGATAAATCTATTATATTACATCTTTATTCGCATAAACATTTACAAAAAGCAATTGACAATGAAAGTCATAATAAAACTACAAACAGTCAAATCAGTAAAGTTGAATTAGCGCACGCATATTGTGGGATTTGCGCTCGTTCTTTTCTTCAAGGTATTAAACCCCATTGCAAAAAGTGAATTTTCTTCGCTAATCAAACAAACTCCGTCAAAAGTTACACTTCAACTTACTGGAAGTTTATTACATCAGTATACAAATAAAGAAAGATGCAGCATCATGGGAAAAGCCCTTAGCGAGAACTATTAATCTTTATTTGGAAACCGACTGATGTCATTCTAGTTTAGCCGCATAGTGCGCAATGTTTTTCCACTCCACTTGTTTTGCGCATTTTTCATAATCTAATAAAAATTGAAATGCTCGATGTCAAAAAATATTGATTTTTCTAGACTTATACCTAATTCAATTGTGTTACACTAAAAACAATCATTTTTTTGTCAAAAATAAGAGCAATAAATGATTTGCAAAAGTAATGTTTCCATGGTTACAGTAGACTTGACTTTAGTTCCTGTTCACAGCAATGGACTCTGGACGTTGNTGAAACTGAAGGAAAGAAGAGAAAAAGAATAGCGGTTGCTGGTGAGCCTGGCATAGGAAAAACTTTATTTTCACACAAACTTATTCGAGACATGGCCAAGAATTGTATAACAGTCCCTGATATTAAGTTCACTTACCTGATAACATTCAGGCAATTGAACTTGCTTGACGAAGAAAAGTTGAGTCTCAGAGAGCTGCTGAATCTTTGCCCTTTATTGAACGAGAAAACTATGATCAACGACCCTCTAATTGAGTACATCATTCAACATCCAGAACAGTTATTTGTTGTTTTCGATGGATTTGATGAATATAAGCACAAGAGAAAAATACACGGAAGTTGTGAACGCCGGTTTCCTAATGACGCAGAAGCCCAGATGCCCGTGCATGCCTTGGTCAGCAAACTCATTCAAAACAAGATCTTAGCTGAATCTACTATCATGGTTACCTCAAGACCTGGTGAAGCCAAGGATTTGTACCAAAACATTCCCTTCGACCAGTATGTAGAGATAACCGGCTTCTCCAAGACGCAGATCATTGAATATATTGAAAAGTATTTCAACTCGAGRCCTGAAGAAGCAATGACAGAGGAAGAAAAGAAGAAGGCAATCAATAAATTCAAAGGAACGGAGCACTACATGGCATTTGGTCGCGTTCCTCTCAGATGCTTCTTGATGTGCCCTGGTCATCGAGTGGGAAATCAAAAATAATTGCCAACATTCAGGTCCTGTCACCCTTACAGAGTTTTACHATGACGTCATTCATTGTTTAGATAGACATAATCGAGAAAGAGGTGACGAGGAAGCCTGTAAAAAATCCGCTTCGGTGGATGTTACTTTGCAAAATCTGTCAAAACTGGCTGCACAGTTACATCAAGAAAAGAGATTTTCCTTCACTTTAGAAGACTTGGATAAGCTAGAATTGACGGAAAATGAGCTACTTCATATCAAATCCAGCAATCTTTTGTACTGCTGTCCCGTTGTCAGTAATAAGTCTAAATACCGTGAAACACATATTGAATATTGTTTTGCCCATTCGACCATTCAAGAGTTCCTGGTTGCTTGGCATTTGGTGTCGGAAAAGAAAATCCCGACAAAACGTTCCGACATATTGTTTGAATTCATGAGTGGCTTGTTGAAAAAAACAAAAAAACAAAACACTTCTGGTTTTAATGAGAATGATAGTTTAATGGAGAAATTGTTAGATTTTGTGGATGAAGTGCAAGGGTTCAAAGACTTCGATTTGGATGACTTTGGAGGCAGACTCTTACCACTGACTTGTCTTTACGAATACGGCCGAGACAGTGAATTGACAAAAAGAATGATTATCACAAATCGCTATGGATTCTGGAGCCGTGAAAATGAAAGTATTAGTATAAAGGATGTAATTGACACTGAGTGTGATGCAGTTGCAATGTTAGTTGACACGCTGGACACTGTGTCACCGTCTGTCCCACCACCGAATACTTTGCATATTTATCTCTCTAGGTTAAACTGTTCCTGTGTACACTCGTTGTTGCCATCTCTTACTAAACCAAACTGCAATATCCCTCAACTGGTACTTTGGAATTGTGGACTAGATGACAAATGTGCAGGATGTCTGGGTCAATACTTGGCAAGAACTAAAATAAATAAGCTTGAACTACCTTGGAATAGAATAACCGATGTCGGTGTGGAGAATCTAGTGGATCAGTGTTCCAGTACGTGTATTAATTTTACCCAGTTAAACATGGAAAACAATGAAATAACAGATTCTGGTTTGATGTTCCTGATCAATCGCTGTCCCAGTCTAACGAGGGTAGACCTCAGTCTCAATGAAATAACTGATGTTGGTGTGGAGTACCTCACGAATCACTGTCCTAGTAATCTAAAATTCCTAGGTCTTTCTCACACTAAAATAACTGATAGTGGTGTGAAATATCTTGCGGACCACTGTCCCAGTAGTTTAATCGAGCTGGACCTATCTACACATAGGATAACTGATAGTGGCTTGGACTACATCGTCAAACACCGTCCCATAAATCTACGTGAATTAAACCTGTACCAGTGCGACGAATACAGTTCAATATCAAATGAATGTAAAGAGAGGTGTTCTCAATTTTGTATGGATAACTATCCTGACTTTAACCTCGGAATTTACAATGATTTCAGTGATGAAAACATACAGGAAGAATTTGAAGATATATGTTAGAGGAGGAAGGCATTAGCAAAGTACAGTTTAACTTGTTGAAAAGCAACGAAAGACAAACGTTCATCGAACGATGCAAAATCACATTCACAAAAAAAATCTCTGATGATGCATCACTGAATTAAATTTAGAAACTATTATTGAGCTTAATCGTTATACAAACGACGGATGAAAAAATACACGTTTTGATTTCTTTGTTTGTTTTTATGATTGATTGATGTTGCCCATGACGTGCTTGTTGAAATGTCCTCGTCAAACCGAGTGTCTTTCCCCTGAGGGTACATCATGTACATCAGTGATCCGATACATCCATGTACATCCATATATAGAAGTCGTACCACAGATCCTCCTCCGAAGGAATCAAAGAGCAGTGCAAATTCTTTTGTTACTACAACAACATAACTAAAACCCCTTGAATCTGCGGATTCACTTTGGAAACTTTAACTATTGAGATCCACTTGAAATTATGTTCAAATTCCAGGGATTTGTCAAAGCCTTGATATTTGCCACGATCGTGCAACAAATTCAGAAAACGTGATGAACATAAAACGATATTTCGCGGGGAAAACCCTTTTTTGATAGCCACCCACGCAAACGGTATGCGTAGGAGAACATCTTTTGTCGATTGTCTGAATAAAATAATCTGAAAAAATTCTATTTTTATACTATTCTATTTTTATCCAAGGTTATCAGCAATAAAAGAACTGATCAGTTCGATTTGAAAGGAATTACGCGGCGGCGTGGAACAAAACTATTGATTATGCCAATCCAACAACAACGACAAAACTCCGCTGACAAAAAAGCACAAAACATACAAAAAACCATTTTACAAGATGAAAGAAAGTAACATCAATATATGTATATATGTCATGTAATTTTGATTTGACATCTGATTTCATATAATTCACTTTTCCACTTGACGGAAGCTTCTGACGTCACACTAACCGGGTCCGTGGTTTTCAGAGCAAACTGACCAAGGCAAGAAACGCCGCACGTTCGAAATAATCATCTAATTACATGATCAATTACTGTAGAACTGTAGATAGTTCAGGTATGGACTGACATTTGGATTGTTTTGTAAAGTTTTAAGCGTCGGCTATGTTTAATTCTAGGAGTTTATGAGCTGTTCGCACGAAAATCACGTGACTGCTTGTCACTCGTCTCAAAGAATGCGAATGTGACTTGAAACATCCTATAGATATCGATAATAAGGAAAGTATTACTTAACAATGGAATAAGCCCAACTGTACGTAGTAAACAAAATTCACTAAAAATGTCACTATTTCAGTGATTTTCATTCCAAACCTTCAAATAGTAAAAGTGCAAAAGTTACTGACCCTATTTATTAAAAGCTCACTGATAAATGAATTAGTATTATATCTGTATTCGCATGAAAATTGAAAAAAGTCATTGACAATAACAGTAACAATAAAACTGCAAACAGCCGAATCAGTATAATGTTGATTCAACGCACGAACGTTGCGGGTTGCAAAAAGTGAATTTTCTTCGCAAATCAAACAAACTCCGTCAAAAAGTGACACTTCAACTTACTGGAAGTTTATTACATCAGTATACAAATAAAGAAAGAAGCAGAATCATGGGGAAAGCCCTTAGCGAGAACTATTAATCTTTATTTGGAAACCGACTGATGTCATTCTAGTTTAGCATAGTGCGCAATGTTTTTCCACTCCACTTGTTTTGCGCATTTTTTATAATCTAATAAAAATTGAAATGCTCGATGTCAAAAAATATTGATTTTTCTAGACTTATACCTAATTCAATTGTGTTACACTAAAAACAATCATTTTTTTGTCAAAAATAAGAGCAATAAATGATTTGCAAAAGTAATGTTTCCATGGTTACAGTAGACTTGACTTTAGTTCCTGTTCACAGCAATGGACTCTGGACGTTGATGAATGCAATCTGTCGACCAATAAAAACAAACTTTACGAAAACATGCTCACTACTCAGTTTTAGTACATTTCCATCTCCAAGTTACGAGTTGCTGGCTTATAAAAGATGGACAACTTGCTCATTTTAGTCAATCTGAAAACTTCTTTCAAACTAAAAGCTGCSAACACAACTGAAGAAAAACAAGGATTTCAAGCTCGAATATGGATGCAAAGAACAAGGTAAAAACTAATACAAAAAACATATCTMTCGACTGAACATTCACCTGTGCAAGTTTTGCTATTGTATAGTCAATACTTTTAAAATTCAATTTACAATTTAATATAATATTAGTTTATTCTCCCACGGCATTGAACACAAAAGCATCACCGAGTTTATAAGTAACTTTGTACTCAATTCATGAATAGAAACGAATATACATGACATAGCTTTACCATGTAGATTTAAAGCTTTTACGGAAAAGAAGTTGAGKATTCCCGGAAGTAATTTCAAGCATATGAAATCAGCGAAGTGTTGATACTGACGCGCATGTACCTCGTGACGTCATCTTGACGAGAAAAATCATCAATATCAAATATTAAGATCTTGTTGCGAATCTGATCTATTGTCATCTCTTTTATGGCCTGAAATAACCTCAGCTGTAATGCATGCTAAGTAGTCTTAACTGTTAACTGATCGTATTTTGGAGGAGTAATTTTCAAGCCACAAATACAAGAKTTAGCTTCACACGGGAGGACCGGGTGGAAGTATTGCCCCGTCATSTCAAAACTCACGCACACCTGTTCAGTTCACTGCGTCATTGGCAAACGTCAAGTCTCCTAGGGCTAACAGAAGGGACAATACTAACAAGCCATGATTTTGATATTTGATGTCTTCATTTTTAACAGATTCTCGCCATTGTGGTAGCTGYWTGTCTGTCAAGTCTTGTAGCCGATGCGGGAAGATGTTCAGCAGATAAACGTCTTTCTCCCAACAAGAAACTCAAGCATCTTCGCCGACATTATTATTTTGTTGAGAAAGTAGAGGTGGCTCACCTTCGTCAAATCTTGAAGATCCCTCGTCGCACTAGACGTCAAGTCACTGTCGTAGACAACAATAGAGTGGGTACCAGTCTTTGTCCGTGGCGATGGATCGAAGATGAAGATTCCAACAGGTCACCMAGGACGTTCATCAAGGCAGCATGCAGTGAGTGTAAGCATTACTGTCGAGCTGTGTACTTTACCCATCGTGCATTGGTGAAAAGATGTGATCAAACCACTGGGATTCGTGTGTGGAAATGGATCGATGTATTGTTACCTGTAGCTTATGTCTATGATCCATAGACTGACAACGTTATCTTATTTATTGATAATACTTACTCATAAATTCTAACTTTCATATTTATCAATAAACAATAGTAAATAATAATCGCAATGCATTGTACATATCAATATTTGTCATGATGTCATCGTCAAAGTGGTGGCTTCATATTAGTGATAAAGAAATACTTTCTTTCGTATTTCATATTTATTGAACCAATGTTGTATTATTTTGTAAATAATATTGTAAGTGACGAATGCAATCTCGAAATTAAAAAAATATTGTTATTTGATCTGCAGTGGTCTTGATAGAGTCYTTTATAATATATATTATCCAGGGACAGTAGCGGCAGTTCWCGATTGTGCAGCCATACGAGTATATGTCATGACCAGCAGGTCGATAAGAAAGAGTGCTAGTGCCATATTCGAGCAATAAAAAGTTAGTCCTTTTACGATGCAGAGCAATAGGAGAAAAAATAATGAAAAAGACATAAATCAATCGATCGATCCTAATCTGGCCTTTTATGAAGGTAGAACGACAATGCCAATTGTTGCCTGTATGTTTCACTGTACAACTAGAACTCTTTAAAACTGCGGATTCACTTGTACACTCTGAAATCCATATAATATCAAAATCCCCGCAGTGATTTATTGAAGCCTAGACAGTATGTTAAGTGTCACGATCGTGCATCAAATTCAGAACACGTGATATTAAACATAAAWTGATATTTCGGGGAATACCCTTTCTGATAGCCTCCCACGCAAATGGTATGCGTAGGAGCAACCATTTTATATTAGACACTGAATTCAATASTCCGTTAAAAGCACCACAGTTTTGTCTTAAAAGACAAAGAAATGAATTTAAAAGAGAAAATGATCGCGAAATACGAAATACACAAACAAAATATACATTTAACTGCATCAACTGATATCATTTCCTCGAGCTTCTACATACATTGTAAGAAAATTGCAAATAACTGATTGTTTAAAATTTATTTTAAAACTGATTTTAATCCATTCAGTTTTGTAGTAATTGTTAGAGTGATCCATTTTTGTTTGGGAATTTGTTTTTAATCATGCTCCTTTTCCAGCCTCAGATCACGTACTTCGACCACCTTTCCGGAATTTTCTCGCACTGCATTTTGCTGATTGTCGGTTGACTGCATAAAATAAACTGAAAAAAATTCTATTTTTATACAATTCTATGTTATCCAAGTTATCAGCAATATCAGAACCGAGTTGCTTTGCAAGACTGGTTACGCGCCGGCGTGAAACAAAACAATTTGGTTCTACCAATCCAAAAGAACAAAAACTCCGGCAAAACTCTAATAAACAATGACAACTTTAGGTAAAAATGATTTTACAAGAAAGAATAAAGTAACGTCAATAAATACATATATCATGTAATTTTGATTTGACATCTGTTTTCACATCATTCACTTTTCCACTTGAC